ATGGGGGATGGGGATGGAGTTGGGGAGGGTAAGATCCGCCTCCTTGAAATGCTCGCGTTTGTTTGTTGTCGCACAAATTAGCCAACATGTAAAAAGGTCGAATTAAATGTGAATGGTAAAAGATTTACAACGACTATAAGATCGCTTATAAAACAGAGTAACACACACATAAAGTTTTCATTGGCATTGTAAATTAATAACTTTTGACAAGAATCGTACTATCTCGCAGTATTAAGATGCGCCGACTAATTTCGTAATATCGATCATGGATCTTCTTCAAACTTTGGTAATTCATCGAATGAGCAACGGGTTTTAATATTCGAATTGTAAGTGTGTCGTATGAAAGATTAAGATACACCGGCATCGTTAACGCTGGTAAAGTCAACCATGTCTTTTGTCTGCATTTATTTGTTTTGCTTCTGCTTTAAATAACGCTTTGATTCGTTTTATCAGTCTGAACTCTCCAGTCAATGTTGGCCTGCCCACGCAATCGATGGCTCCATTGACACTCGAGGAGATGCGATAAATGTTTTATCGTAATAATGATCATTATCATTTATCGTTAATATGATTATTATTATAACTCTTATCATTATTATTAATATTATTATTAATATTATCGTCGTCGTCATCAGTATCATCATTATCATCGCCATCATCATTATTATCATTATTCCAGCAATTTGTAATTATTATAATTATTATTAGTATTAAAATTGAGTGAGTCTCATGAAAAGAAACGATTCAGTGCCGACAAGATTGGCATTCGTTACATCGTGAACACAATAACCATAATAATAATGTTGGAATGTGTATCCCATTGGGGCGCTGAATGATTTTTTTTTCACAAGAGGGTGACTCGCGCAGGCGCGTAGATCGAGTCTTCTGAACGACAATGAACTCGCCTCGTGTAGTCGGCCGTTATAAACCTAAAATACTAAAATGCATCGTGTGTAGATGTCTGAGTAGTCTCCTCCTCCTGTAGCGTAGTCCTCGGAAGGGGAGATGCTTCGATGTGCCACGTCATTCTTTCTTATGCTTCTCGGTAGCCCAAGAGGAAGTTGACGATATACAAGTTTATATCGTTTAGATTATCCTTAAAAGTTTGTGCGATCTCCGGCCCTTCGTCTCGTCCTCTTCCTCGTCCCTCTCCCCCGGTTACACGACCTAATACGATGAGTTGGATTAAAGGGGGAGGGTGGGATGGAGGGATAGAGGGAACGGAGGGTTGAAAAATTAACGTTAAAGAAAGTGGAAAAGAATTATTCGCAACAACGCGTATGGAAAGGGAGCGAAGCGAGCCCCGAGGTCGAGCCATGCTTGGGCCCGAAGAAAGTACGTCCAATCGGTAGGACTTTATATGCAAGGGGCGCATCTCCTCGTTGTATTTCTTGCCTCCCAAATGCTCCTGTAAGCCTTCCGTCCTTGTACCTACGTCTCTCTCTATCTCTCTCTCTCTCTCAACCTCTCTCTCTCTCTCTCTGTGTGTGTGTGTGTGTGTGTGTGTGCGCGCGCGCGCGCAGGCGCTCGTACCGAGCGCCGCCGTTATCTCGTAAAAATGGATCAGCGCGCGTCTCCGCTTCAGGCCGCGGGGGCTATTACGTAAGCCGTTGACCAGCGGTTGCTGGGGCTCGAGCGGCATAGGCTCAGGACGTGGTACCGGGTGTACACGACGGTACGGAATCACAGAATGACGCAGCAGCGACAGTATCGTTGTCGCGAGGCGCCTGCGCTCGGAGGAGGCGACACTGGTGCAAAGTACGCGTGTACTTTAATGTTTGGCAGGTGCGTCTGAAAAGCAAAAGCATTACGTACAGTTGGTAGTTTGGCCTATTGAAATTCGTTTTAGATAAGTTATAATGAGCGAGGCTCGCTGCCCGGATATATGAAGAGGAGGAGAGATAAGAATGATAATAAATTCCGTTCGTTTATCCTTGTGCGTCGTTACTCACCGCATCGTGGATATGAAAATCAACGAGCAATCCTAGAAACGACGGCCCGTTAAGTAAGAACACATAAGCATTTGCGCATTTATTTACTCGTAGTTAGTTAGTTCTCGGCATTAAAACTTATTTTTCATTATTTAATTTACCGCTTATTTGCATTGTTATGGCGTTGAGCATTATATAGGACCATTACAAAGCGTTTAATGCTTTGTTATGCTTTCATTGCATTTTAAATGCTACATTCGAAACACTCGGGGAAAACAATAATTCACAAGGCATTTCCCATTAAAGATCTTTTTAAACAACTTTTTCCAATTTAACGCCAATGCGTCGCGCATACGTAAAGCAATACATAATAGCTTGTAAAATTGCCGTTTGCTTGGCATTTAAACGAACTAATTGCGCGCACCGGACTCTACTCCTCGTGTTTACTTACTCTGAGTCTACGTATGCCAGCCCTTGTGATTAATTGGCAGTCATAAAGCTCGATGCGCTCGAGATTGTGGCAAGCTTGCAGTAGGTGATCGAGACTGGCGTCAGTGATAAGCGGACAGTTGTCGAGCTCCAGCACGGCCAAGTGTTCGGCGGCGCACGGCGAGAGTGCCAACTGCCTAATACCTTCGTCGGTTATAAGTTCGCAATGTGACAGACTCTTTGTGAAAAATATAAGATATATTAGTTAGTGGTGGCGAATGACGATTGATCCCTCGTTAAATTTAATGCATACACTTTACACGCGTTTTCCGTTGTTCGCCGTTCCATTGACGTTGCTCGCGCGTCTATAGGTAATGTTGTACAAAGTTCGAGTACATCGATTCGCTCAGTCGCGAAACCCTCTTGTGATATTAATTCCGAGAGATCTTAGCCTTTGCGTAGGTAATAGATAGTTGCGATGGTCAAATGAATATTAGCGCTCACGTCATTTCGTCACATCGACTTGTCGTTGTTATCGGAAATACGTCGTTAAAAGACGTTTTACACACGCGAAAGATCAACATGCCTTGGAGACGAGGTTTTAACGAGTTACATCGCGTAGATGGATTATCGAACGAAATGCAAAAGTACTACGCGCCAATTTGACATCGTTTAGCATGTCGAATATTGTCCGTTTGATTTATTGAAAGGACGGAATCCAAAAGATGATAAAATAATGGAAACTAGCAGAAGTAACTCCTCCATGCTCTCATAGGGCAACGCATCGAGTGTACAACAGTGTGTAAATTGGAATCGAGCGAGCAAAACTCACAAGTTTCTCTAGTCGTGGACAGCCCATGGCTAAATGAATGAGCGTCGCGTCGGTTATGAGGACGCATTCTTCCAAGTCCATTTTCTCCAACAGTCGGCAATTCTATCGAGAAAATAGCATTAATATTATTAAGAAGAAGTAGTTGGTGGGTGGGGATTTTTAGACGATTTTTGGCGGCGATTGGCTCGCACGTTATTTTACCCTCGCAAGTGCTTGGAATCCAGCGTCGGTAAAGTGGGCACAGGCCACGCACTCCAAGACACTGAGAAGAGGACAGTGTTGCGCGAGCGTGACGAGTGTCGCGTCCGTTAAATTCGGACAGTTGGATATGCAAACGTAATGCAACCGGGTACACCTCTCGCTCAGCTCTCTTACCGCCTCGTCCGTTATATTCTGCAATAGGAAAGGCAAAGAGTTATGAGACCGGTATGTCGCCGGATATTTTGTAAAGTCGTGTGTGGAGTGCGCAGGATCATACGTTACCCTGCACTCGTGCAGATTCATGGCCTCGAGCTTGGGGCAGAAGCGCGCGAGACACTTGACCGCTCGGTCGGTCAGTTGCCGGCAGCCTTTGCTCAGAAAGCTCCTGAGCTCCGGGCAGCCGCGCACCAGGGCCTCGACTCCTTTATCCGTAAGCAGCTCGCACCACGAGAGATTGATGTGGGTGAGGAGGGGGCAGCCGTCCGCGAGGTCTTTGAGGGAGAGGTCCGTGATCTCCGGGCAAGAGTCGAGGTTCAGTCGTTGGAGCTTCGGGCAGTGGCTGCTGAGGGCCGCGCACGTCGCGTCCGAGATCTTCTTACATTGGCTCAGATTTAGTTCCTCGATGTTAGGGCAGGACTGGGCCAGCGTCCTCATCGACAGGTTGCCGATACTCTGGCAGCCGCGTAACGACAGCTGCCGTAAGAATCCGCCGCATCGACGCGATATATTCTCGATCACTGGGCCCTTTAAACGCGGTCGTAACATATTTATCCCACCAGCTTATTACATGTTTCTTAGTCTATGTCTATGCGGTGGTTGGCTTAACTTTTTTTCCACTAAATTTTTTTCTTTTTTATTTTGTGTATGCGTGTGCGTGCGTTTGTGTGCGTGCGTGTGTTTGTTTTTACTAAGTCAAGGTGAGGTCGGCCTCCGAGCAAGGAATATTCCCACGCATTACTTTTTGATTTTCGCGTTTGCATCATCGAATCTCTCTACAATTGTACGAAGGTTAATCAAGGAGGAAAAACCTTTTGCAACCATTCAATGGTTATTATTATGTTTAACCTAGAATAACAGTGATGCACTTAGAAAGAGATCACGTACGTATAATTTCATTGATTAGTAAAAATCATAACGTTGGAATTTGCAGGAGAGCGACCCGTTCTGTGCAACAATGACCTGGCTCGCGGTTACCTTAAGCCTAATAAAAGTAAGTTTAGGCTAAGGGATGGAACACAGTAGTATCGCCTATCCAGTCGGAAGTTTCATCAATTCAAACGAAACCTACGAATGCTTAAGTATTTTGTAATATTATAAATCGTGAAAATTAAATAGTAAAGTCCGTTTAGAATATTATCCATTAGGTGGATTTGTATGAAATATTGGGTCGAATTTTTTTCCAATAAAATTATTTTACATGGCTTCGTAACTATACGGCAAATATTTGTTCTCTTTTATTTATTACTTTTTTTTATTTATTTTTTTATTTATTTGCGTTGCTATTTTTTTTTTTTCATCACTTGCAACAATACCGCGTGAAGAAATTATTTTGCAAAATGAGGCTATTTTTACTTTAATATTTCAGTTCAATTATTTGGATATTTCTTTACTTGCATAATATTAATCGCCCTAACCGATAAATTTGAAGAATGAACGATGTCAAAATTGAATACATCAGATCTTTCATTCGATAAAGAAAGAGAATTTTATAAAATTTCTATTTGAAATAATGGCATTATCAGATATACTTTTCCAAGGGAAGAAATGATAAGAACGAATTTGACCTCCATCGTTTTCTTTTAAAAACTCTGCTTCTCTCTCTCTCTCTCTCTCTCTCTCTCTCTCTCTCATACAAATATACAAATGTTCAAGTGCCTAGCTGCGCAATACGCATATCAAAGTGATTCCCGGTAACGAATCCATTAAAAAAAAGCATCACGTACCAAAACCATCATCAAATTAACTTCAAATATAGCAAAATGCTTATAACATATTTATTAATCATTTTAATCTAAGACTTGAAATAGAACTTTACGTTAGAATGTTTCGTGACGACCATTAGATTACATTTTTGCGCTTATACAATAATGACAAGAAAAGCACACGCCATGAGAACATTCGCTTTTTAATTTAATAACCATTCGCGATATAAAACACTATCTAACGTGATATACCGGATTATGTATTTGCAGCAATTTCATGCAAAACCGCAAAACTAAAAGCTAGACGGTGCACGTTGTGGAAACTAGCACGTTTTGTTTGCCTTATGAAAAACGAAATATTTCGGTTTGCCACGTAAACGAGCACGTTTCGTTATTTCTTTGGAATATAAGCGTATTTGGTCTTTGGCTACGAATACTAACTGGTTAAACTGATTCATAGCCCATTGTATCCGTGAGCAATGGTCGTGTGGCCATTTACAGGCATTTCATATTTCTTCGTGTTTTTTTTTTTTTTTTTATTTATTTATTTATTTATTTTATTTTTTTTTATACAGCTTATAAACCCATATTAATTCGATAATTTTATTAGACAGATTCGTACATTCTAAGGCGCAATACGCGTAAAGGTATCTTACATAATACTTTAATAGCAGCACTTTACTATTTAATACAGTTGTTTGGAAATTTTTCCTTTAAGCCTTTACAATAATAACAGCAACAATAATATCAAAAATTTAATTAATTAGCATTTACGAACGTAGAAATTATTATTTGGCTTAATGTATCATGCAGTAAATATTAATCGTAAAATTCCTGATTTTTGTACTTTTTCCTGCTCCAAGTAACGCAGGTATTTTAATTATATTTTATTTTATACGTAATTAAACACGTACAATTATGGAAAAATCAAAAAATCAAAAGAACGAAAAAAAAAAAAACATACAAACAAACAAACAAACGTCTTCCTACGTCTTTTAAGTAAAATCTATAACACTTTCGCGGCTATTAAATAAAACTATAATATGCTTTAAGCAAGTGAAATTATAAAATAACGTGATTGCATTAGTGGTGTAAATAACGAATCGAGCAAGGCTTATATAATTTATAGTTTTTCCACCTCTTAATACGATGCCAATTGAAAATAATTCATCATACCTTCGTAATGCACCAAACGAAAATTAAACTAATGTCTTTTGCTTTATAAGATAAAAATTAGAAATATACTGCGTTTCGTTTGATCTCAAAATCTTATAATACGCTTGCGACTATTTCGCCCCTTCACATTGGATTTTCATAGATACTGCAGAATAAATATATCGTTTATTGGATTACGTAAAGTGGATCGAGTATTTTTGAAAGCTCATTCGCGCAGCTGGAGATATCGCAATGTCTGGAGAGTTAAGACGCGAATGGTTATCCAATATGTTTACTCTTGCTTATTACTCGAATTATATATTATTTATTTATTTTTTTTTTTTTTTTTTTTTTTTTTTTTTTTTTTTTTAAGTGGTCTTATACCAGACTGCTACCAATGCGAATAGCTACTCGTAATGGACTCTCTCACTTCGATTATCTCTGAATAATGCCAAAACATTTAGCTCTCTGTCGCCTTTTAGATGATTCCTTCTTACGTTCTCATTACTTCGGCGATCATTCCATTCTTCGCTCTCCTCGCGCTTTGTCTTCGCGCACACTTCCCATTTACGTGCATTCCCGAACAAGAGTACCGATTGAAACGTCAACGGCTCCATTTTCCTATTTGTTCTTTAACGACAGCTGAGCTTGCTCCTGTATGCCCGGCACAGCATTAAAATCGCTATCTATCTCGTTTTAATCGCTGACGCAGCTCCCCTGTTTAGCGATTGAGCTCCGCTCGCCTAGATACTCGTCTTCGATTCCCCGGCATTGACTCTTCTAATGTGTAATTCCCTACTCAAATTCCGCTCGGCTTTTGTACTTTGTGTGCTCGCTGTTAGTTTTATATAAATTGCGTGCATTGGCTGGTTTGGTAAATTCGTCCTATATTCGCTCTCTTACGATCCACTCCGGCTTTACCATGCATTTGGAAATGGCGCCTTCTATTCGCCATGCTCCGCGGTATTTACAAAGTAACGATTTAAAATGTTTCTTCCCAAATATTTCTTCATCTCCGCGTACATTTTAATATTTAGAAAATACTAGCATGCTAAGTGTATGCATTACTAATGTGTTTGAGTTTGGTAATTTTTCATATTGTGCAAGTAAATTTAAAATAATTATACTTTAAATATTGATATTAATTTTGTTATCATTTATTGTTTCATGGCTTTCGTTTAAATAGCGTTAAATAATTTTCAAATTCAGAACTCAAATGCACCCCATGATTCCAAAAGTCATTTTTTATTTCAACGATCTATTATTCCATTTGTTTCATTTCATAAGGGAAATTGCATATATATATATATATATTTGGCATATAACGTTCTATTCCAACTTAACGAATCGATATTTAAAAGTGAATATCGCGGAATATTTTTAAATATCACCTACCCATATACGGTAAACGATAAAATAAAAAAATAAAAAAAAATAAAAAAATCCATTGCAATTATTATTCGGTCATTTATGTTTGGAAAATACAAAATATTAATCGATTAATACAAATTAATACAAAAAATAATCCGCACCGAGTGTAACACGATAGTCATTTGTGCTAATGTTCAAACGATTTGACATTAAAGTTTTTAAGAAAATCAAAGTATAAACTTTTATGTTCGCGGATTCTCCGCTAGGAAGTAAAACATTTGACGTCGTTACCTCTACATCTCGTTGGAAGTCGAAGAGATCGATTCTTTGCCAATTTGATCCATCGAGAGCTAAGACATTCCATGCTTTGCTTACTTGAGCACAGCGACATAAGGAAACAACGTCCAAGTATGACAATATTCTGAAATACATACGATAGTTATCTATTTCATATATTTGTTTCATTTTATTATCATTACACACCTTAGTAATAATTCCTTTGGCAGTTTTTTGTTGATTTGGGCTTCGTCGTCATGAAAAACCCATGTCAACTGTAAACATGGGCACAATTTATATATTTTCTTTGCTTTTACAACAACATTGTTGATTGAATATCGACAAATATTAAATAATATCAGCGTTGCCCTTCTGTTATTCTATCCATTTTATTATTATTATAATTATTAATATAGATCAATAGATGCCCTAATGATATTAATGATAAATTATACATCACGAATAATATTAAGATAAGCAGATAAATCTATCTAGTTCTTTAATGATTAATATATTCTACGGCTCGCGACTCCATAAGTAAATAAATATAATAAATAAATTCTATTCATTGAGTATATTAATTGACAAGATTAATATGAATTAACAAAGAATTTTATTTGCTATTTATATTTTACGAAAAGAATTAAATGCCCTCATTGAATTGGACATCTAAGTAGTTTATAAATGTTTTAATATTCTGATTTAGTCGCTTATTTTCATTAATATCAGGTTTAATATTTCATTTTTCCATAACATTGCTACTCTGAACGATAATTTTAATAATTTATTTATACAATTAGATAAATTCATTTCCATTTCTCTCTATTTATTGCTTAAAGTTAATTTCACTGTACTTAACATGCATATAATACATAATATCGTGGAGATTTTTAAGGGACGTTGACGATTGTGTCTGAATAATTCGAGGCGATAAGCGATTGCAATTAAAAATTAAACTTATGCAAATCTTATGAATTATTTAGTAAAAGTATTAGCGGAAGAACCTTCCCTAACAATTCTATATTCATAGTATTGCTCAAAGCGTTACTACTATACTTACAAATTCATACAAGGATAGATTATAATTATATGCATAGGTTGGTCATACAGATTATACATGGATCAAAGTATTTCCTACTTATATACATGCATGCATATGTATGGAATACGTTCGATTCTTATGTCGAACACGCACAGGTAGACGCAAAATTTGCTAATAAAGCAATGTTAAAAGATAAAACATTCATATAATGCTTTCAATCCCATAAATAAAAGAAAGTGCGCGCAAAAAACAAACAACCATTGATTTTACACTGCGTGCTATGTAAATAATTGTTGTAGTAAGGAAATTGCAATATAAATAATAAAAAAAGGCTAATTTAAATGATCTTGACAGAAATTATTCGATTAATGAATGAAACAATAATTAATAACTATTACATGGGGAAAAATAGAATTTTTATATATATTTTATATATATATATTTATTTATTTATTTATTTCACTTTTGTGATAATTTTTTGAAATTTATATCGGATTCGATATATCGGTACAAGAATTAACAAATCAGTAAACTATTAAAGCTGAATAAATCGATGAAAAATTTTAATACGAATTCTTACGGATAAGATGACGAACCAACATGTAGAAGTTCCGAACAAAATGAGGAAAAGGATGAATCTTAAAGCATAATATAAACAATGAAAAAATAGTATATACACTTTTGTTAAAAAAAAAAAGAAAAAAGAAATAATAATAATAATAATAATAATAATAATAATATAAATTATAAAATGTATTGCTACAGCAATACATAGTTCTGAAAAATTGAAAATTCATGTCAAATTGGATAAATTTCATTGATTCTTATAGTTGGCATACTTATTTTAGAGAAATGTATAAAATTGCTATTTTATAATAATAAAATATTGTTTTTCAATTCTTTTATTGAATCAAATTATTATATTATATTTGCATTGAACAATGAATTTACAAATATATTATAATTTTTTGCTTTCTGTAATTTAACAAACAATAATAATTTATAATAGTAATTTTTTTTAATTAACACTAATATAATGCCTAACTGTACTTAAAAAGCCTAGGACTCTTAGATTCATAAATATAATTTTATTTCAAATTACTTTTATAAAGATATAATTGAAAATTTTACATTTATCCTAAATGAAAAATTTTCAAATATTTTCTCATCAAATACTTTTAAAATCTTTTGGAATTTCATCCACATTAATTTTGATCATGATGTTTCATATAATAAAATTATTATTAGATTTTAATAGAAAAATCACATAATTGTAAAATATACGCTCTTTAGTTTATTTTTATTATTAGGTTTTTTAACGATTGAAGAACACTTTAAATTAACATTTTGATTAACATTTTAAATGATAAAGGTTGAATTTATTATCAATAAATACTAAAATTATAATAATGGCATATAACGACCTGTATTACGTGCAACCTTCTTTGCCATATTCATATAAATAAATGATAATATTATAAGTAAATATTTTCATTTATGCATAATTTCGATTAATAAGTCAGCCGCAATAGCGTAGCATTGTTAATAATTTTGAGCTTATGGATTATTGTCAGATTTCTAAATGTTTCAAAAAAAGTATTATAATATTCAGAAAAAAAAGTCTGAAAATTTATCAATTCATAATTATAGATTTGCAAATAATAAGTCAATAAGAACAGGCCAGCATTTTTTACATACGAATTGCAGTAGTAGTAGTAGTAGTAGTAGTAGTAGTAGTAGTAGTAGTAGTAGTAGTAGTAGTAGTAGTAGTAGTAGTAGTAGTAGTAGTAGTAGTAGTAGTAGTAGTAGTAGTAGTAGTAGTAGTAGTAGTAGTAGTAGTAGTAGTAGTAGTATTTGTTGTTGTTGTTATTGTTGTTATTGTTGGGAATCAATGCTTTTTCACCATTATATATATATATATATATTTATAATTTGCACACTAATTGTAGAATATAAATTTGCATATGGTAATACAACACTATTAAGTCAGATGTAATAAAGTGCGTGAAGCTCAATTAATAAAAATTAAATTTTATTGTTAGATTTGATAGACGTGAATATATTTTGCATAAAAACGGAGAGTAATTTTAATCCATTGTAGAGCCGTAATGTGGTCTTAATGTCGTGATTTAATGTCAGCTTTGTAATTGTTCGGGACAATGAAGACGAAGAATTATGAATATTTGAAGAAAAATGAAATGGCACGAAGAAGGTTGAATTGATTAAAACGAACCTGCATGTAAGACTGCTTCATGGTTGTGACGGGATTGTTGTGAGAATGCGATTGTGATGCATAGTAACTGCCTTGATGATGGTGGTGATGATAATGATGGGGCTGATGATGATGATAGTGATGAGAGGGATGTTGTTGCCTCCACCACTGACTAGTGGCCCCAGACTCTTCAACTGGTTGAACCCCGTGACCAACTTGACCTTCTCCGCCCACACCTACTCGACTTACTTTTTTCTACAACACATTTCGATGTCCCCGGTTCAGCTATTTTTTTCATTTCCCATTTGTTCATAATTTTTTAATTGAGCCTACCAACTATTCGTTCAATGGATATACCAATCCTTTCCCTTTATTTCGTTCTCTTTCTTTCATTTTCATCTCTTTTTATTTCGGCCTATTCCCTCGTATCCATGTTTGTCTTTAATTTTTTCTTTGTTTCTTTATTTTATCATTTCCATTTTTCATTTTTCTTTTTAATTTAACCTTTACGTTATATGTGCTGTTTCCCATAAGAGCACGAAGACTGCGAAATGTTTTTAACAAAATATTAAGGCAATCTTTTATATTAAATATGTGCCATTAAATGCCATTAGGCGAAATTTCCCATCCAAATTCCGAAAGTTTATAATAAATTTGATGCTACTTCATTTGTAAACTATTATTATAGGTAATCCTAAACCTTGAACTTTGCTAATCGAAGTGACATTCAATAATTGATCTCCGATGATCTTGGATAATTTTTTTAATTATATCAATAGTAGTTATGTCTGTGAAATATTGTATTTGTACAAAAAAAAAAAAAAAAAAAAAAAAAAAAAAAAAAACAATAATATTCGTATAAATAAGCTATAAATGAAATTTGTGTCGAATGCATGTAAACAAACTTGTTAAATTATTTATATAAAAAGCCATTATCGTCTGTTAATCGTATTATTTATAAGACATTAACTTTGCATACAACCTTGTCGAATAAATTTTTAGTTTATGAATACTTTGTGCTTTTCCTCGAATGTTATTTGTATTATTATTTTGTCATCTTACGAAGATAAATAAAATACTTGTCCATTCAAAAGCTCATGTTCCATAGATTCGGTTGTAAGAAATGATATCAATTTTATGTGCTCGAAAGAAATAAAGTTTTCATTTATTAATTAAGACTTGCAGTCTACGCGACTTCCTGTAATATTCTTAGACAGCAGTTGCTTGATTAATTAAAAATTAAAAAAATTGTATGATCACTTATGTACTATTGGCAGAACAAAGTATGATATAATCGATGATATTTTCAATGATAAAGGCACAGATTTATAGGGAAGTGAAGATAGATGAGAATCATAGGCCGTATTTGTATAAAATATTTTCTATATTTTTCGACCTTAAAACATAAAAAATGCAAGCTAAGTGGAAAGTCCGTTACTACCATTTACACTTGTACTTTGTTTATTGTCCCGTGCCAATTTCAGAATCAAATAATGTATAAATAAATTCATTTATGTCCTCAACTTGCTCAAGTATTAGCATACATTAATCTATCGTTATTTTTCTGAAAGTAAGGCATAATTGACATTGATTTAAAAAAAAAATTAAAAAAAAAAAAATAAAAAAAAAATAAAAAAAAAAAATAAAATAAAAAAAGTGATAGAAAAGAAAAAAAACAGTTGAATTTTGTAGAAATCAAATGAAGCTCAAATCAATATTATCACAATTTTAATCAAGAAATTACAAAATAAAATTGTTTTTATAACAATTTTAATCATTCATTTTCACCGGCATGTATAAAGTATAATATTCTTAAATATTTTTATAATGGTAGATTGGGGCATTTTGGAGATCATTTAATTTTAGAATTCGCATGCAATCGAATATTTTCAATGTGATATAACTAATTATTAATAAACGTCAATTTTTAAATACTTTTAGGACAGCGTGAAAGTGAGCGGGCACCCTCGATAAATTATATACAGTGGCAGAAAACAGAAAAACAACCATAAAAATTTCAAAGCTTAAATCTATAGTATCGTTAGGAAATTTTCAATTACAAAATAAGGAAAACGCAGTATAATAAAGCTCAATAATTGTTTATTAAACAAGATTCGTAAAATAATGAAGGTCGCTAAGGAATCATTTATTAATTTAAACATTAATACGTCATTGATTATTTCAATCTCGCTATTAACTATCCATGGCTAACCACATAATTGGTCGAAACAAAGCATACGCTCATTTTAGATTTATTATTATTATTATTATTATTATTATTATTATTATTATTATTATTATTATTGTCTTGCTAAGTCAAGCCTACAGAATAAGCAGTATATGATCGGGCAGTGCAAATCATTTGTTTGATCTACTTATATAAATGACACATGTATTTGTATAGCAACAAATGTGAAATATGAACTAAATATTTTTAATAGAAATAAAAGCAAGACTACAAGGTGAACATAGCAGTTCATTAACGAACGTAATTATAAAAACGAAAAAAACAAACAAACAAAAAAAATAAAAATTTAAAGATATAAAAGAAAGGAAATTTTGTTTGTTTGTTTGTTTTTCACAGACTTATGACATCAAGAGTTCCGAATTCTAAATGCAACAATGAATGGCGGAAATACGCTTGATTACACGATTATTAGCCGTTTATAGTCATTTGTTAAATATACAATTAATGTACGAATGATAATTAATAAACTTTTGGAGCTTCAATAATAATAAATTAACTATTAGATTCAATCTTTTGTCAGTTATATAAAATGTGAGCGTTGCGTTGACAATAAAACAAATATGTTATTATATAATCCTACTCGCATTGTACGATTGTTAAGTGCGATTGTCAATGCAGAATCGATTTGTAGAAGGGAAAATAAACGAAAAAAGAAAAAAAAAAAAGAAAAAAGAGAAAATGAAAAAATGAAAAATTGAATATAAAGTTAGAGAAGGAGAAGAAGAAGAAGAGGAAGAAGAAGAAGAAGAAGAAGAACAAGAAGAAGAAGAAGATGATGATGATAACGATGATGATGATGCCGATGATGATGATGATGACGACGACGATGATGATGATGCCGATGATGATGATGATGACGACGACGATGATGATGATGCCGATGATGATGATGATGATGACGATGATGATGATGATGATGACGAAGAAGAAAGAAGAAAAATAAATGAGAGGAAAATCGTATGTACAAAGCAACCTTGTCCGATGTATGTGAAATCCTCAATCCGGGCATATTTATTTATTTACTGCAAGTATCTAATGGCGCAAATTAGCATTGGAAAAGCCGGAGAATGGGTGGAGTGGGGACTCAGTTGTTTGCGTTAATTTCGATATTTCGTTCGCTGGGGAGGAGGACATTATTGTTTTGAGGCGCGTTCGACGATTGCCAAACGTTCTATTTTTCTAAGTAGAACATTTGCGAGCAAATTGCAGTAATAAATCCGCCGGCAAGGGAATTTTCGGATGGATGGATGGATGAATGTGTGGATGGCTGAATGGATTGATGAATGCACGCACGTACGCACGTACGCACGCACGCACGCTAGCAGGCACTTATATAAAGTCGGAGCGGTAATGAGCGAAAAGTGCGTGCGAATTGTCAAATGTTTATGCGAGATGATAAGCGCGCGAGTTGCGAGGCGATGCTCGCGAAGTACTGTGGCTCCTGAGCATCGCGACTTACGTCGACTCGACAGTCGTCGATTCTCTCGGCTTTTCGACAATTGCAGTTGCAGCTGGGCTGCCGATTGGCGCTGGCTCTCGTAATGAAAAATAAGCCCGTCGTTAGCTGACCTTAATCCAAGATTATCTGACCTAAAGTAAAAGCTCGGTTGAGAGAGCATCGGCAGGTCGTAGCAATCGTCGCGTAGGTTCCTATCGCTTATCACGACTAATCTGGTATTTAGGGGGGGGGGGGGGGGGGGGTGATGGACTCCAGCTCCGCGCGGCCTTCGGGAAAAAGGTGAAAAGAGGAAACGGGAGTAAGAACAAAGAAAAGGGTCGAATAAGCCTTTGGTGGTGGCGGTGGCGGTGACTGCCGCGGCTGGGTAGTAGTGGATGATGAGGGATGGTGAGGGGGGCATTGAAGAGGAAGGGAAAGTGGAGGAGGGGATGGCGAGAGGCAAAGACGGAGTCGTACTGGTCGTAGGTAAACAGATAACGATGGGCGGGGGGGGGGGGGCCGATTG